CCATACTATCCCAGGACTGCACTCTACTTACCCTATCTAATTGAACCAGGTACAGACAGGGTACAATCATACACCTAAGGTACAGGTCACCTGTGGTCCCCTTCTGGATGCAAGACCTCTGGAGGATGAAAGAACTCCATGTGCTCTGGTTGCTGGTGGGAGTCTTCTTCCACTGCAGATAAATCTGTATAGACATCTTGGTTTGGATTAGATTTGGGCTGTGGTCTTTCATAAACACCACTTGTTAATTTTATTATGTGTCCATCTGAATTTAGAATTCTGTAACCATTTCTAGCATAACCAACAAAAATTCCCTCTTCATTTCTGCAGTGAAGTTTGCCTCTTTTATGTTTGGGAATATAGGTAAATGTTTTGCTTCCAAAAACCTTTAGATGGTTTAATTTAGGCTTAACTCCATGTCATAATTGGAATGGGGTTACATTTTTGGATTTAGTTGGCAGTCGGTTACACAGGTATGTAGCAGTCATGATAGCTTCAGACCAATAGCATTTAGGCATATTGGCTTCCAAAAGCATGGTGACTGCCATATCCTTGAGAGTTCTGTTCATTCTCTGTGCCACGCCATTCTGTTCCAGAGAATAAGCCTGTGTGGTCTGATACTTAGTGCCATGTTCCTTTAAAAATTCATAAAACTCAGCATTGACAAATTCAGTTCCATTGTCTGTGTGCAGACTCTTCGGTTTATAGCCAAATTTGTTACAGACTCAAAAGTACTCTTTGAATTTTTGAAAGGCTTCACTCTTCTCTCAGAGAAGGTAAGTGTATGTGTACCTGCTGAAATCATCAATAATAGTCATAAGGTAACAGTTGCCTCCTGTTGACTTTTGATTCATAGGTCCAGAAAGATCAGCATGTAGAAGATCCAATGCCTTTTTCAATTGTCTCTCAGTAACTGGAGGGTGTGGAGCTCTTGTGGCTTTTGCTTTTAAGCATTCTACACATTTTTCACTGCTTTGAGCTTAAAATCTCTTGCAAGCTCTTGACTGGCCAGTCTCTTAATATTTTCCACACTTCGATGAGCAAGTCTGCTCATAAAGTTGCCATAAAGTTGAACAGTCTTTATGATTGCATTGGGTCACACTGTTCACTGATGGATGTAAAATCTGCATCTGATAACATCCATGAGATCCTAAGTCTGCTCTAAAAATCAAATTTTTGCCATGAAAACCAAAACCAGTTTGCTTTCTGAAACTGACACGGTTGCCTCTTGATGTTGTGGTTTTCACACTGTAAAAGGGGGCTTGCAAATCTGGTACATAGTAAGCATCAGGGATTTGTAAGATTCCTATTCTGTCAGGACCAAGTTTTGTTTGCAAAATAACAGTCCCTTTTCCCTGTGCAAAAACTTCTTGACCATTAGCAAGATAAACAGGAAACATTACAATTACATCAAAATCAATAAACCATTCTTTGCTGTTGAAATAATGTGGACTAGCTCCAGAATCAATGAAAACTTGGTTTCTATATTTATCTCCAGCAATTTGAAATGATTGTCATGAATCAAACCAATATCAACATGGCTGGAAGATTTCTGTTTAGGGTTAAAAGCTGCTTTCTTAAAGTTGCTTTTGCTTTTGGTGTTTAGCTCCTGACTTAGAAGCTTTTGCAGCTCAGCTATTGGCTTTGACTTGTTAACATCATTTCTATTTGACGTGGGAGAAAAAGAGACCTTTTGCAAATCCTCTGCAGCAAATTGAGCCAATTCTCTTTCTGTTGTTTTTGTATTATAGTTGCCTTTGATCAAGTTCTGCCTATTTTGAAATTCAACAACTTGAGCAATAGTGTCTTGCAAAGAAACATCTTTTACTTGCAAAGCATTAATTATTGGAGAGTAATATTTTGGAAGGCTAGCCAAAAAAAATTCAAGTTTTACATGTTCTGGAAAGGATTCCTCAGGTGCAGTAACTCCAGACAAAGCTATTAATATGCTGATTCTAAAACTGAGGATGATGCAACTTTGTGTTAACAAGTTTGATCATGAGAGCTGTTTGATTAGAAGTACGTGGAGAATCAAACACTTTCTGTAGTTTGTCCCATATCTGTTTTGCATCAGTTAAACACTGAATGTGGTATGCAATGCTGGGATCTATAGACAAGCAAATATAACCAGCTGCTTTCTCTGCATTTTCATCAGACTATTGTTGCTGTATTCCTGCTTCTATGGGTCTCTGCCCATTCACTGCTTTAAATAGTCCCATTGTAGTGAAGTGTATTTGCATTTTCCATGCACATTTTATAATTGGTTCCAAATAAAATTTCAGTGATCATTGTGGGATTAGGATTAGCAGAAGCCATTCTCTGTTATTAGAATAGTAAAACCTTTCTTGCATTCAATATCTTCAGGAGAAGTAGATTAAACAAAATAGACTGGGGGGGCATAACCCAAAAATGTGGGGTGATTTAAGTTTCCTAAGGCTTCAGCCTTTCTAAAGGAAACAAAAATCAAAATATGAAAGTCTGTTAGAGTCTGACTTTAAATTAGCAGAGTAGCAGAAGAGTGACTGCCTAACTACGCTTCCCTAAGATCTTGGATTGTCTCAAAAAACAACAAACACATAGTTTGTAGTTCAAAACAATGGCTTTAATCTATATTTACATAAAAATGCTATATCCTAATCTAACTAATGATGGTATAGATAAAGAGGGAAAAAATCTCACCACCTTTTCAAACAAAGTTGAGAGAGCAGGAAGATGGAAACAGCTCAGTTGAGAATCCTGAGAGAAAAGATTGTTAGTCCCAAAGATGGAGTGACCTAAGTCACATGGTTAGTTTGAATGAGAGAGAGAGAGGAGTTTGCAAGCAGGAATCTCTGTCTATCTAAGGAGGGGGAAAAGAATGCAAAGATCCTCCAACACTTCTAAATACAGGCATATCAAAGGCAACAGAAAACCTGTCCAAGAGATCACTAGTTCCTTCATGCAGCCATTTAGCTGTCTCTCAAATACTTGAGGGATTTCATAGCACTGTTGAGACTAACTGGCAGAGAGAAGTTGGTAGCATGAGCTTTCATAGCCTTGAGTCTACTTCCTCAGATGTCAGCATTGCTGGGACTGCATATTCCATATCCAGTGCCTTTTGTACAACTTTCCTGTTAGGTTCTGATAGTGTTGATGGTTTATGGATATTGCAACTACTGCATATAGTGGATCAGATCCTACATTACTTCAGCATAGTGTAAATATCTGCCCAGGGGAGTGACATTATGCTTGCATTATGTAACCCTTATACGGAATAGCAGTGTAACGCAACTGATGTGAATAATGGTCAGTGTATTTGGCTGACATCCCATTGTGCAATTACAAGGCACAAATATGCATTCACATGCTTCTCTAGGAACTTTAATGTGCTAAAGTATGCCCAACAGTTCCACATACAGAACTCCACTTATGCCTTTGTCAGCTGGATATGAGCATTGCACATTGTCCACAAATTTCACTTTGCATATATCTGCATGTGTCACTGAGAGGATGCCAGCCTACAAAGGATCTTACATCACCTTCAAGAGTGAGAGAAATAAGTTTGTAACATCCACTTTCGTAGACTTAGGCTGTATCCTCACTGCAGAAACAATGCAGTTTGATACCACTTTAACTGCCATGGATCAATGCTATGGAATTCTGGGTTTTGTAGTTTGGTGGGGCACTAGAACTCTTTGACAGAGAAGGCTAAATATCTCACAATACTACATATCCCAGAATTATGTAGCATTGAGCCATGTCATTTAAAGCAGTGTCAAATTGCATTATTTCTATAGTGCATCTGCTTCATCAGATACAATGGGAGTTTATGCTATAAATTTCTTTCAACTAGTCTCAAAGGTGCTACAAGAATCTTTTATATACTAATCCAGATTAACACATGTCTTTGAGGATGCCATCCTGTACGTCATAGCTCACAACTCAGCTAAAGTTTTACGTCCTGTTTTCAGGAACAAAACTGTGATGTCACTGCAATGTTGAATTACAGACATTCTTGCAAAATTGTTCACTGTCAAATGTCTGCTGCTATGGTTGTAATAATCTTGCTTTGGCACCCTTTTGGTAGCAACTGTGAAAAATGAAAAGCAGGTATTTGTTCTAAATATGACCTGTATTTTGATTCACACTGTGCTTTTGGGATTTTTGCATTATAAATATCATGTGTTGGAATATAACATGATGGGATGCAATGGCATTCTGTCAAATATAAAAGCAAAGCATACATCTGATTAATCACAAAACTGTAGCTGAAGTGTCTCTGTGAGAGCCAATAGCAGAACATTTGTGAATGTGCAAATGAAATCTTTGGAAGAGCACAATTGGCTGCTAGGTGCCCAGCTGCCATTCAAATTTTTTTTCCTTGCAGATAGAAACATACTGGGAAGTGCTAGACTGAGCCCCAACCCTGCAGAATAGACTTGCTGGATCTTAAAATAGGATTTGCTGCAAGGTTTATGAATGAATTTTGTTTAAAACAACAATTGGTGTCACTTTACCAGTTCTTCATCTACTAAATACAATCCTCATAAATGCTAAGACTTTTCTTTCTTTTAAAAAAAATGAAATGTAGGTGACCATGTTGTTCCATTAAGAAGAAAAAAATCCAAATTCTACAACTGGGCAATGGCTTTTTAGGGCCAGCTAAAGTTTTACAATAGTATACAAGTTTCTAAATTCTGTATAACTATTCATCAGGCTAGGTAGCAAAATTGGGATGGGGGAGGGACAAATATGGGAGGCCAAAGATTTAGTTGGAAAACTTTTTTTAGCCATGGCATCTGCAAGTTCAACTCAATCCCAAAATGGAAGATTAGTTTACACTGTCACTTTGTCTTGTAAACCTTCAAATTACTTCCATTTCTGACTTATGGCAGCCCTAAGGTGAACCTATCATGGAGTTTTCTTGGCAAAATTTATTCAAAGGGAATTTTGCCTTTGCCTTTGCCTTCCTCTGAGGCTGAGAGAGTGTGACTTGCCCAAGGTCACTCAGTGGGTCTCCATGGCTAAGCAGGGATTCAAACCCTGGTCTCCAGTGTCACAGTCTAACACTGAAACCACTACACCACACTGTCTCTCTGGACTGTCAGCGTTCACCATTTTTATAAAAATGTGGTTTAAGATGTGGAACTGTGAGTCTGGGGTTTGTTCTGTTTTCTGAAAAGTTCTGTGGCTGGGAAGGTCAAAGCAAAATCCTAATCTCAAGAGTTAGACATGATCTCAATGTAGAATGTGTAAATCATAGGTCACAACTCAGTTTAGGGAGACCCTAATTTCCCCTCTGTATTTCCCCTTACCCCATTTTATTTTCTTTAAGTATCAGGGGATCATACTTTGGAGAACTAGTAGTAGTGATGGTGATATGTGGGCCATAGTGCCCACTGCAATTGCAACCTAGGATACAGCCTCACTGATTTTTCCCTTTTACTGGCCTATTCATCTGGGAAGGAAGTGAGAAAAGACCACCCAGTGCTGCTACTATTTTGGACTGGATTACTATGATAGGTGAAAGATTCTCAACCAGCCCCACAGCAATTCTGATGCTGCCTGGATTGCTATATCTCCACTGCAAATTAGAGGGGAGGTAGCAACAGCAGTCTTAGTGTGAGATGAGAGACAATTTAACCTCCTAACCTACCCATCTCCAATATTCCTGTCCCCAAATCACAGTGTACAAGGTAGAGGGACTTAGACCTGCTTTTCTCCACACTCTGAAATTGGAAAAGGGAAAGATGTGTGCACGCATATATGTATGCATGCATTCATGCAGGCATGCATCTGCACACACATTTGCAGCATACAATCCACCATCTGCCACCACATGAGCCCTTGGAGCCTAAAATAACCCCCTCCCACACTAAATAATGGAAATTGATGTGAATTAGGATGCTAGTAAACAGTCATAAAAATTATGCCATCCGGTTCAGGTCAGTGGTGCTTATCCCCAAGTAAGATTACAGGATTGCAACATAAATATCATGAGAAATATTGAGATAAATGTTACAACCTTTTGAAAACTTAAAGTCTCAATGAAGTCAGAACACATAAAATTCCTAAACAGAAGAATGAAGCATATCTGTGACTTGATTCTTCCTCTTCCTCTTCCTCTCTTCTGGACATCAGCTGGTCTTAACTTTGGCTGAATCCTGCCCTAGAAAGTTTTCATGCACTTGTATCGAATCTTCTTTCAATCTAAATCAGGGGTAGGCAACCTTTCCCCTTTAAGAGCCAAGGGACTTCAGCTCCCAGAATCCCAGGAGCTTTTGGCCAACATGGGACTATGGCCAACATGACTGAGGCTTCTGGGAGCTGAAGTCCCTTGGCCTTTAAAGGGGAAAGGTTGCCTACCCCTGATCTAAATAGTGTAATGCTACTTTTGTACAAATAAGGACCTTGGTTATTCATATGCTGCAAACGTTGCCTCATTATTAACCATTCCAAGTCTTCATTATTTGCACCATGACAAAAGATGTATTTGAACATTTCTCATAAAGAAGAATGTTACATATCTGTAACAATATGTGTAGTTATCATATTTTGGAGATGCCAACTTATCTGTTTTAATATCATCAAAGAACGTGTGTGGTTTTTCCCTTATCATTAATACTTCAGAAACAGGGGTAGGCAACCTTTCCCCTTTAAGGGCCGAGGGACTTCAGCTCCCAGAAGCCTCAGCCATGTTGGCCAATAGTTCCATGTTGGCCAATAGCTCCTGGGATTCTGGGAGCTGAAGTCCCTCGGCCCTTGAAGGGGAAAGGTTGCCTACCACTGCTTCAGAACAATAGCTATAATACAATATCAAGACACAACATTTTGTTACCTTCTCAGTTTGTCTTTTTATAGCATAGTTGCCCCTATGACGGGGGGAAAGAATTCAAGGCAGGGCTCCTCAGAAAGTTGTGGACATTATCCTACAGTGACTGGACTGCAGATGGGAGGATAACTGATGGATGTGCAAATCAGGGCTCTACATTGCTCAGCATCTGAAGTCACCAGAGGCAGGTTGATCCCTCTGTTGTACTCACATACCTGATTACATTCCTTCACTTTAATCTATAAATACTCAACTGCTTGCTTTGATGCACTGAGAAATATAAGAAAAATGTGGCACTGCTGATTCTCCTAGACCTCTCAGTGGCTTTTGGTACCAGCAACCATAATGTCCTCCTGGACAGATTAGCCAAGATGGAAATTATTGTGGTATAGCTAATGGTCAGATGCAGAACAGGACCCTGTAGGACTATTGTTCAATTACTTCTCTTTTCTTCAAAAGAAATAAACAAACAAATGTGTTGTTTATTGGAGGGACTTATTCTGCCTTTTAATGAATGTTTAAATAGTTTTAATTCTCTAGATTGTTTAATTGATTTAAAAAAACTTTATATTTTAATGATTTTTTCTGGTTTGTAATCTGTTCTGCTTTTAATATTCTGTCAACCACCTTGAGTCCCATTGTTAAATGAAATTAATAAATATAACAATAAATTCCTACTAGGGCATCCTGCAGGATGTTGCTTTGTCCCCCATGTTATTCAGCATCTCTATAAAATTGCTGAATTAATTCATCCAAATAAGACCCTCCTTTCCAAAAAACAAAACAGAAAAACAACTCTGTTTCTCCTTTTAATCAAATTCATCTGAAGTAGAGGAAGTGCTTAGTATGAGTGCTCTCCCCAGAAGGGTTTGCATTATTGCCCTCTTGAGACCCTGGAAAGAAAATTGTACTTTCTCATATTTTTAAACACCGTTTTAATCCAGCTAGGTTTTTTCTCTTGTTTTTAGAATCTTCTAGCTTTCAGCTTAATGTGTGTGTATGCAAAACTAAATTAAGGTGGTTGGGGCCCTGGAGCAGTTCCAAAAATAGCACTCATTTTCTGTGCATTTGTGGTCTATTCTAAAGGTGATAGGAAAGATATTACTGTAGTTAAATGAGCCAGCCTTCAGATAGCCCTCTCCTAACATCTGAACTGAGATCTTAAACAGAAAATGCAGGCCCAAGACTAACATCTTCAAAAATGTTCTCCTTTTTGCCTGATGAAGAAGTCAGTGTGACTTCGAAAGCTTGCAACATGTAGTTGTGCGTTTTGGTTGGCCCAATAAAGGTATCATTGTTTTGATGTTATTAATTAAATGAATGAATGATAAACAGATGAATATAGATGGATGGATAGATAGATAGATAGATAGATAGATAGATAGATAGATAGACAGACAGACAGAATCATAGACAACAGCACAAAAATCTTTATATATGCAGCACAACCCTGACACTTCAATGGGACTAACACCCTGACTTCATACATTTTTACTCAGAAACTTAAGTAGCACATAGAACTTTGAGGATAAGAAAAGCATCAGGAGATTCATGAAATGTTTGTGGAAAGAGAGAATGCAGGCTACATGTTTTTCCTTCAGTTCTGGGCCCTGACATGTGAGGGATCTAAAGCAATTGCATCAACTGAACAATGGATAATCTGACCCTATGTTTTTGTGTTATATATTAAATTGTACATATGCAGTACTAAAGCACATGATTTTATACTTTTTGTAGTGCACCCAGGGTATATAACAAATACTTTAATAACTGCCATTCATTCTGATGAGAATGAGGAATGCACTTTGTGTAGCCAAAATTGGATGGCTGGTCTTCTACTGAGAGAGAGCCTCTTGGGAGGATAAATTTGCTTTTTTATTGTGCCTTCCATTGGTCACTTCAATAAACACATTCTCTTTCTAAAACTCTGATTTGTGGATATTTTACTAATGATGGTACATGGTTTACACTGGCAACATAACTTAGGCCATAAGCGAGCACTTCTACTTGTTCTTACTATCAATCATATTATCCAATGTAAAAATTAATTCAGTTCCAAGTTACACAGGAATTGAAGACATCTAGCATTTAAAGCATATAAGTTGTGTAGGTGAACACACACACAAAAAGCAGTGAATAGTTGTGGCATTTAATAAATTGATTGATATTTTGAAAGCTGTTACCACTAAATTATTAATGAAACTTTCACCTCTTCTTTGTATTAAAGCTAATTGGTACAGAATGCTGGTTTCTTAATAAACTGCCCATTTTATAGTGATATTGTCCTTTCAATCAAGACAAAAATTGTGTGATACCATTTGTCTGTATGGTATTAAAAGCTAATATTTGCTTTGACATCAGCTATATGAACGGCAATAAATTATACAGTACATGTCAGAGAAGCTAACTTTTCAGCTTAGTTGAACTTTTAATGCAATTAAAACTACAGGTTGAAATATTTTAAGATCTTGTCTGCAAACTTACAGTTGTTATACTTAAGAAAGAATTCAAATATATCCTTGTTACAGCATTTTCCCCTAAAATGTTGGCTTTGCATATTAATTTGTCAAATGTATCATATGAAGCAGGTAAGATACATTATACATTTCAAAAGGTTTGTAATATTCCAGCACACGATTATCCCTTCATTTTATCCCTGGAAGAACAAAGTGAAAACATAGAGTATAATGTGACCATAACTAGATAATATTGATAGAATGCCATCAGCTTTTTATTATGGATCATTTCTCCTATTGTAAAGCCTCTTCAGATGTCTGTCTTAACCCTGATGTATGCACACCTTCATAATTTTGTGACCAATTAAAATTAAACTTCCAGTTTGAGATCCACACAGACTGAAGAAATTTAATTTAAAAGTGGTGTGTCATTTCTGAATGCAAGCTTATTTCTCTTTTAATGGTGGAGATACCACCCCTTTGAACAGTTAACATCAACAGAGGAAAGAAAATCCAAGTTGCCTCATACAGATCAATGAATGTATTATAGTACCACCGATGATATATCATTCTGCACTTGCCCTTATCGCTTCTCTAAATAGTTGTGGTGTTAATCTTGAGCAGGCAGAAAGTCAATACTTTAGTTATTTCTTGCCTTGTGAACTACTCTAATACCTATTCAGCGTCATCCATTTTGCCACATAATTTCTCACCATGAATTATATCCAGAAGCAGAAGCAATGTCATTTAAAATGTGAACTGAAAACTGGTCAAATCTAATTGCAATCAAGTGTGATCCTCGGTT